CACACTCCAGTCTGGGTGACAGAGTGAGACTCCAACTCAAAAAAAAAAAAAAGCTATTTTACACAGTTTGGGATTACCCATAAAGTGTATGTTCTACATATTCATGTATGAAAATACCAAAGACTAGCTAGGCGTGATGACTTGTGCCTGTAATTCCAGCACTTGAGACCATGGCAGTAGGATTGCTTGAGCCTGGGAGTTTAAAACCAGCCTAGGCAACATAGTGAGACTTCATCTCTAGAAAAAGAATTAGCCAGGTTTGGTGGCATGTGCCAGCAGTCCCAGCTACCCAGGAGGATGAGGTGGAAGGATCACCTGAGCCCAGGAGGTTGAGACTGCAGTGTGATCATGCCACTGTACTCCAGTCTGGGCAGCAGAGTGCGACTCTGACTTAAAAAATACAAATAAAATACCAAAGATGGAGGACTCTGTGGCATACCATTGGAAATCTTACTTTGCATGACATCTATCCATTTCTCTCTGATTATGGGTTATAAGGTCCATCTAACTCTTTTATCCAGGACTTTTTTCCCTACTTGTCCACAAATTATCTTCAAAAGTTTTGTTAAATTTGCTGCTGATATCAAAACATTATGTCCTTGGCATGAATTCTCTTTACTAAAGAAAGGTGATTAGTTTCCTACTGAACATATACTGGCTGCTAATTGTTACCACTTCTTATTCAAGGCTTGTATTCAGTGCTATGCTGTGGATGCTAAACACCCATTATTTGTAGTATAAGATGTTAGACACAAGTATAATTTCCAACCACTATGGTTGATTTCAAGCTACTTAAGTGATGTCACTGAATGCAAAGGTAGGAAGAGATGTGCACCATTGGTGCTACTTAGTAATACAATTATTTTTGTTACTGCTGTAGTAACTAAAGCACTTATGTGCCAGTCTCAGTTAAGTTCTAACCATTTATGAGTATTAACACATATTTCTCAGAATGACCCTATCAGTTTACTATCCCCATTTTCCAGATGAGACACAAAGAAATTAAGTAACTTAATTAAATGACAGAACAGGACTTGGACACTTTGTAGCTCCATAGGCCTTACTTCTTCAAAGATCATAACTGTAAAGGAGAATCAGATTGGTGGCAGGTGGTAAGGAAGGAGATGACAAAAGTTTTAAAAGGAAGTACCAGGCCATAACTGTCCTCCTGAACAGACCAAGACAAAACTTTTCCAACAGGAAATCCTTAATAGATATAAAGAGACTCCCTGGGAATCACTCTGGTCAGCAGAAGCAGATCCTTTGAAGCAAAGTAAGTCTAGAGCCATAACCAGGATCAAAACTGGCCTCTAGAGCTTACTGTTCTATGCCTTATCCACACCTGCAGTTGCATCATTTTAAATATTCTGCAACCACATGTGGCTAGTGGCTATGGTGTTAGCATAGACAGTGGACAGTGCTGCTGTAGACTGAAGCCTACCCATGGCCAGTCATACCTCCTGCCTGATTGATGTTTCCTCGTGTCTTACCTCTGACTTTTCCCTTTGGGGTCATCAAATGAGTAACTGCCTTATTTCAATTTGCATACTGTTTTATCCCAGTCCAAAGTAAGGGTTAGCAATAACTCATTTCTTAGATCCTCCATTTTTAGGGGAAATACATACAACATTTAAGAGAGACAACTGTTAACTCAAAAAATTTGTACCTTCAAAAAATTGCATTAAATGCAGTATTCTTATTTCTTTTAATAATTAAGGAGGAGAAAGTTCAGGCCATGCCACTCCGTCTCAGGAGCCCAGTGGAAGTTCAAGTCAGAGACCTGCAGAAGACCTTACCGTCCGAGTGGAAAGGTTTGCTCTTATTTTTGCAAATAGCATTCTGTTTAAAATGACAATGGCTTTTGGTTATTTTTAAACTTTGAATAAAAGCTAAACTTATGCAAATGAAGCTCTAGAATTCTGGGTTGAAATTTTTGGTCACCTGACCAGCTTATTTGTACTTATAAAATTACACTCTAGAGGTAAAGCTTTTTTGTATCTCTGAAGTCATCAGTTGACTTTAGGTTTGCTCATTCTAAGAATTCCTTTTTTACTGATATTTTGGTACTCATGTGTTTCCGTCTGTCACTTCTGCTTCTATCTCTCTATGCCAAAAGTATAATAAACTCCAGATGGGCAAGAACTTCTGCTCATTGTGTGACTTTGTAGGGGTTCTGCATGAGTCTGTAGAAGTTTATTAAATGTCATCTTTTTATTGGTTGGTGTAATAATCAGATACAAATTTCTGACTCTGTCGTTTGTTGCTTTAACATTTTTAACGATGCAGTAATTATGAAATTTTAGTCTTTTATGCTGTGATTCTTAAGGTTATATGATGGTGGGTGAGCAGGCATATTTAAATTCTAATATTAACTCGTATTTCTAAAACTGTTTGGAATTAGTTATATGGACGTCAAGTTTCTTAAGAGTGGACTGGATATTTTCTTGTTTACGTAGATCTTGGAGGAAACAGGGTTCAAAATAATTGCTGATATTGGGTCTTTGGGTTTACTCATGACTCAGTAAAGATCAGCTACTTTTCAGCAAAATCTAGGTTCTGATTGTTCTTTATAAGAGTTAGGGCAAGCTGACCTTGAACAATTATAATGCTACAAGAAAGTGATTGGCAGTTGAGGGAAACTGCTAGGGGAGGAAGGGGCATGCCTCATCAACAAGGGTGCCTGCATGATCACTGTTTATATGTCTAACCCTGAATTGTACCCCACATCTCTATAATAAATAATAATTTTTTTAAAAAGAGGGCAGGGCCATGACCTTGAAATAAAAAGCAGGACAGATCTGACAGTGATGAGGAAGTGCTAACACCAGGCCCACTGCCGTATACCCTCATTTGCACCACCTTGGGGTAAAGTGAAAATTGAAAATCTGGAAAAGGGTTTGTAGTCTTGGGACAAAGTGGTGAGGAAGCACACCTGGCAGCCCTTTATTGTGGTAGTGTCAGGTGCTATTTAGTTACTGTGGAAGAGTGCAGTTTCTGTTGTTACTGTTTCTTAATAGCCTTCATTCTTACATAAGGGAATGACGGCTAGTGTCTGCCTGTGTCCTAGTACTTATTAATTTGCAAGCTGAGAGATCCTACATTTTATTCATCTGAGTTCTTGTCCAATTGGAAATCTTGTTCCTTTTGTGGAATCTGACTTACTGACAATGACAGTAGCTGACAATACCAGACTATGTAATATTCCTGTGCCAGATATACTCTTAGCACATCATTTATACCCTAAGAGTTACCTTCATTCTCACCATTCCCTGCCATAGGCTCTGTAATGCTCTGATACTCCTGGCTAATTCATCCCCACCATCTTCTGCAGGGTCATTGGACACCGAAACTCTGAAGTGCTACTAGTTTTCCTGTCTCACAGAACTGAAATGCTTTTTCACAACTTATGTAATTTGGACCCATCAATCCCTGTGGTATAATCTGATATTTTATATATAGAATTATATAAAGCTCTGCAAAGCAAAATTCATGCATTTTTTTTTCTAACCTTGGTGATATTTTAAATATATTTTATACAAATTTAAAACTCATACTTAAAACTTGGCAGGATGGATTCGCCAATGTAAGATTCTAACTTTTCCCTTGGGCTACAACTGCACCTGAGATCTATTTCCAGTGATCACACTTTTTGAAAACTAATTTCTCTACCCTAGGTCTTAGGGGTTTTTTCCATCTGGTTCCAAGGAAAACTAATTTTGTTAGAGGAAAAGGTGACTAAACCAAATTGCTGTAAGTTAGCTCAGAAACTTCTCTTATCTTGCACATAAGAACATAGTCTTTCATTCCTGAGCTGCCTTTTGCCACGTAAACTCAATTTAAAAAAAAAGATTTGTGATTTGCAATTGTGAGATCTAAGTTTTTGTTTTTAATATTAATTAAAATGTATACAATGATTTATTAGAGCTAACAGATGTGAAATAGTCATCTTTTGGTGAACCTTTCATTAAAATGCATTATTTTGTTTATATCATTATGTTTAAAATGAGCAGAATTATCTGGGAAAGTTAATATTTAAGACCATCAATTCCAGTTTTTTATTTGGAAATGTCTCAAATCTCATAGTTGAAAAATGATCACTTTTTTCTTTTTCCCTGATTCATTTGAAAGTTGCAGGCATCATTTCATTTCACCTTTAAATACCTCAGTATGCATGTCCTAAGAAAAAAGACATTGACTGAAGCTCTGTGGGTTTTGAACAGGGGAGCTCCAGCTTAGGCCAAGATTTCAGGGTCTGTGCCCACTGACCCATGCCCTGCCCTCTCCTGATACCTGAGCAGGCGTAATGACCATTAAATAGATGCTGGCTGGGCACAGTGGCTCAGCCTGTAATCCCAGCACTTTGGGAGGCCGAAGCAAGTGGATTGCCTGAGCCCGTGGGTTTGAGACCTGCTGGGGCAACTTGGCGAGACCTTGTCTCTACAATACATCAAAAATTAGCCGGGTGTGGTAGTGTATTCCCAAAGTTCCGGCTGCTTGGAAGGCTGAGGCGGAAGGATCGCCAAAGCTCTGCAGGTCGACACTGGGGTGGCCATGAGCATGCCACTGCACTCCAGCCTGGGCGACGGAGTGAGACTCCAACTCAAAAAATAATAGTAGATGCTCAGATGTAGAAGGGAAGAAGCAGTCAGTTTATTAAGTGACATGCAGTGTAGCTTTTCAACCAGATTAGAACAAAAGTATGTTTTTCTCAGAAGAAAATTCTGCAAGGGGTATATAATTAAAGAATAGAGACATTTTCAGATATTAGCACAATACCATTATTGTACTTAAGAAATTGTAAGTTGATACAGTAAGATTACCTAATATGTGATCCATATTCAAATTTCCTCAGTTGTCCCCTTTGTAACTTTTCTCTGATTCAAGATCCAATCAAGGATCACTCATTGCATTTAATTTAGTCTTTTTGACTCCTAAACATTTCTCTTATCAATTAGGATGGTTTCTGTTGGTTATCTCTATTATAAAGGTACTCTTTTTCCTTTCTAATTAATAAATTTTCTATGGGGTGATTCTTTGAAACAGTGAGAATCCTATTCCAAAACTTTAGCCCAATGGTTTTAGCATTCATTAATTTTTGCTGGAATTAGTTATTTCATTGGCATTAAAAATGCTAGGTTTGGTCGAGCTTGGTGGCTCAGCCTTTAATCCCAGCACTTTGGGAGGCTGAGGCGAGTGGATTGCCTGACCCCACGGGTTCGAGGCCAGCCAGGACAACTTGACGAGACCTTGTCTCTACAGTAAATCAAAAAAATTAGCCAGGCTTGGTAGCACACACCTGTAGTTCCGACTACTTGGAAGGCTGAGGCAGAAGGATCGCCGGAGCCCAGCAGGTCGACACTGGGGTGGCCGTGAGTATGCCACTGCAATGTAGCCTGGGCGACGGAGTGAGACTCCAACTCAAAAAAAAGTACTTTTTCTAATTTTATTTCTTTTACATCTATTAGCTAGCATTCTTCTGTAGAGAAGTGCTTTGATCCACCTTTCTACTTTCCATTCCCCATCCCCACCATTTAAAAATTTTTTTTTAGTTCACATCTCACTCCGTCACCCAGACTGGAGTGCAGTGGTATACTCACGGCCACCCCAGTGTCAACCTGCTGGGCTCCGGCGATTCTTCTGCCTCAGCCTTCCAGGTGGCCAGAACTACTAGTAGCATGCTACCACACCTGGCTAATTTTTTTATTTATTATAGAGATGAGGTCTCACCAGGTTGCCCGGGCTGGTCTTGAACCCAAGGGCCCAGGTAACCCACTCACCTTGGCCTCCCAAAGTGCTGGGATTACAGGTGGAGCCACCACCTTTTTTTTCCCCCCGGTAAACTTCTTATTGGACATGAGCACCCAGATGAAGAAAGAAAATTACCCACGCCCAATAAACCTTCCTCCTGTTCCTCCTCGAATGCAGCTTCCCTCCCTAAGTAATTGCTATCCTGAGTCCAACACCATAGATTAGTTTTACCTTTTGTGAACTTTGTAATGGAATATAATACATGTATTCTTTTTGTGTTTGATCTCCTTTGTTCAGCATTGTACTTAAGAGACTCATCTGTGTTGTTGCATGTGGCAATGTTTGGTGCATTCTCCCTGCTATACAGCATTCTATTATTTGACTGTACCACAATTTATTTACCTATTCTCCTGCTGATGGGTATTTGAATTGTTTTCAGTTTGGGTTGGGATTATTGTAAATAGGGCTGCTATGAAGAATATGTCTGTACCTGTCTTGATGAACATATGTATGCCTTTCTTTGGGGGATATATATGAAGGAATGGGGATTACTGGGTTATAGGTACTCACCAAACAGTTTCCCAAAGTGGTTAGGCCAATCTAAACCCCTTAGCAGTTAAGACTTTCCACATGTCCTTTTTTTTTCTTTAATATGTTATAATCCATTTCTCTATTATTCTTTTTGGTACACAAATTGCCCCACATTTGACTAGTAGAATTCCCTTCATGTTGGGTCTTCTGGCCTTTTGACCTCCATCATTCTTTGAGCACTCACTTGATTGCTGGCACAAGTTGTTCAGCTGAGTTTTAACAAATGCATACACCCTTGTAACCAAAATCTTTTTCAGAGAAAATACCATTTATTTTAAAAACTGGGATATAATTTATATACCATGTAATTCAAAGTGTACAATTCAGTGAGTTTTAATGTATTCACAAGGTTGTGCAGTCATTACCACTGTCTAATTTCAGAATCATTCATTTATCTAATTAACTTAATTTTTGAAGTGAGGTTTTACCCAGGCTGCCCTTGAACTCCTGGGCCCAAGGTCTCCTTCTGCCTTAGTTTCCCAAGTAACTGGGGCTATAGGCACGTGATATCCGGCCTGGCCATTTGTTTTTAATTGATGAACTTCTTACAGTTGAGAATCAGTTTTGCATTAGTTATTATAAATGCTGACCTTACTATTGTTTTTACTAGTTTTGTGCCATATTGCTATTTACTTATGTGCAAGGGGTGGGGTTTATAGGTTACTGACTTATATATTTGCTTGAAAATTTATTTGTATATTTAAAAATCTTTCAGATAAATCAGAAAATAAAAAGGAACTCTAATAGTTAAAATGGGAACTAAGGCACTTAGAGCTGGAGCTAAGCTTCTGATGGGCTCTTACTAACTCGGCGTTTCTTTTGTTTTTAGATATGTTTCTAGTTCCCTAGGTCCTCCTGGTGATGAACTCAGGGGTTTCTGTAGGACCAGGCAGATAAATTGTTTCTGTGGCTTGAGGGACTTTTCCTTTTGGTTTCTGTATTTCCCTAGTCGTTTTAGCTAAAAAAAAAAAAAAAAAAATCTTCTAAATGTGTTTTATATTCATGTGCTGTATCTCAGTTCGTGTTTTTTTTTGTTGTTGTTTTTTAACACAGACTAACAAAAAAACTTGAAGAAAGGAGAGAAGAGAAAAGGAAAGAGGAAGAACAGGTAAAGTTCATTCACTTAAGCATTGTTTTATTCTTCCATTAACTGGGGGAATGTTTGATTATTCAATTTGGCAGACTTAGGATGGTTTCCTAGTTATAGTTCTATGTTGCAACACAGTGAAGGGAATAATCTATTTTCTGGAGTAGTATCACAGTATAATATATTTTTGTGTTCTTTTTGTAAATTGCTAGAAATAAATTAAACTTTTTTTTGAGTTTTATTCTAAGTATGAACAGACTTTAGCTAAAATTGTTTGGCGTAAGGCAGAAGATTACATTTTAGTTCCTTTTTGTGAAAAAGAACAGTGTAGACATTCTACTGAATGAGTCATTAATTTTTCTCACTATGTATACCTAAATGTGCATCATCTCTTTGGGGTCCTAATATAGGAAGGTTATAATTTTCTTCAAGCCAAAGAAATGACTGCCATGTTTTCCCTGAAGAACATATTTACCCTTGAAACCAAAGATCTGTAATTCTGCTTGCCTTCAAATTACACTGACTACGTTAATAATCTTAATAGGCCACCGGCAGTGATTTATAAATTGATATACATTTGACCACTGTTAATAAACTTTTCAGACCCTTACATTTTATGGAATTTTACTCTTTTAACTGCATTCTACAATTAGCTTTCTCTACATTTAAAATATTATCTGAGGCCAGATGCAGTATGTAGGCAGTGGCTGATGCCTATAGTCCCAGCACTTTTGGGAGGCTGATGTGAGAGGATTGCCTGAGCCCATGGGTTCGAGACCAACCTTGGGCAACTTGGTGAGACCTCATCTCTACAATAAATAAAAAAATTAGCTGGGTATGGTGGCATGTGCCTATAGTTCCAGATACTTGGAAGGCTGAAGCGGGAGGATCACCTGATCCCAGCAGGTTGAGGCTGTGGCGGCCGTGAATGTGCCACTGCACTCCAGCCTGGGCGAGCAAGTGAGACTCCAACTCAATAATAATAATAATGATAATACTAATAATATCTGGGGCAGTCAAATGTTTTTGGCTCAGAAAACTCACTTTTTCTTTAATTCAGAGAGAGATTAAGAAAGAAATCGAGAGGAGAAAAACTGGAAAAGAAATGTTGGATTATAAAAGAAAGCAAGAAGAAGAATTAACAAAAAGAATGTTAGAGGAAAGAAACAGAGAAAAGGCAGAAGATAGGGCAGCCCGAGAACGTATAAAACAGCAGATTGCATTGGTAAGTCTTAAGTTTATTTTTAATACTTGACTCCAGGACACTTGTGAGCTTCTTCTCCTGTGCACAGTGGCTTCGAATTACCACCAGACAGTGCACACACCAATAGTAGATTTTAGTGACTCAAAGAGTAACAATCCAGAGCTTTCTTTTATTAGAAATTGTATATTGAATTAAAGTAGTTAATAAAGTTGAGATGATTTTTTCAAAGTGATTTTTCTCTTATTTTGTTATGAATGTTATCAGTAGTTAAAAGGCACCTTTTAAAGATTTCCTAGAAAATGAGCTAAGAATTGGTTATCTAATAGTCTTCTCTAGTCTCAGGCATTTTTCTTGCAACATTCATAGTATTTAGGCACATCATAAAGCTTAATTTTCTACAATTGTTTTTAGAATATAGCAGTTGTAGTACATATGGAAACCATTCCTACCTTAATATTGTTAGTTCGTTTGGTCATTCAGCAAATATTTATTGAGCATCTTCTGTGTACCAGACTTTGAGCATCTTCTGTGTACCAGGCTCTAGGCATAAAATAGTGAGCAAATTCATGTCCTCATTTCCTTAACAATAACTCTGGTCCCTGACAGTTGATAAAATGAAAAATACCAGATCCAGAATGATAAAGTTCACATATGGCTTAAATATTTGTGTTTCCCTTGTGTTTGGAAGCATGAAAGTAGATCATTCTGGCAGTGAAAAGTAACTAGTATCTAATGATGTTTCGAAGGACCGTGCAGAGAGAGCTGCTCGTTTTGCAAAGACAAAGGAAGAAGCGGAGGCTGCCAAAGCTGCTGCCTTGCTGGCCAAGCAGGCAGAAATGGAAGTCAAGAGAGAAGCTTATACAAGAGAAAGAAGGTACAATATTTCATGCTGAAACATCTCTGTGCACATGGGGGCTGAGGGGAATGTTTGTAGGCTAGTCTTTAATAGTGATGTGTGCTGTGATTATAATAAGTAGTCAATTCCAGAGGGACATATTGACCAGTTTGGCAGCTCCCACTAATAGCTGTCATTGAATGCGAGTGTATACTATAAAAGTACTAAATAAGTAACTTTTAAGAGGGGAGGGGCAGAAAATCCATTTCCAAAAGACAGAAAGCCTGCACATCAAAATGATTACAATGATTATCTCATGTGTATTAGGATTCTTTAATTGTCAGAATCCCAGATCAGATAGGATTAAGCAAAACAGGGAATACATTGGCTCTGCAATTCAGAAATCCCAAGGATGGATTTATTAGACATAGCTGAATATCCTTTAGATTTATGGAGCTAATGGATATCATTACAAATTTCTCTTTTTTAATCCTTTGGTTTCTTTGTTTTAGCTTCATTCTTATAGAAACCCTTCAAATGCTGTCCGAGAATAAATAATAAACAAGTGTTTATTATCCCAAAGAGAAGTGATTAACCTTGTCTCTCAATCACTGTATTAGTCACTGGGAAGAATTCTGATTTGCTCGGCTTGAGTCATGTGGCCACTGCCAGATCAATCAGTGTCCACTTGTGTGGGCTCTATGGTTGGAGGAGGTGACATGCCCAGCCCTGTGATGAAGGAGGTGGGGGAAATGTTACTGATAATTATGCCGCTTGTGTACCTAATCCTGAATTGTACCCCACATCTTTAAAATAAAAAAGATAATTATACCAGAATGAGTGGCATGTAGCAGGGGTAAGGCAGTTCCCAAAACAAAAATGTATTGAGAAGGCAAAAAAAAGCTCAAACTTCCAGTACATTTATTACAATTAATACTTATTTTCTTCTCTGTTTTTCTGCATTTCCATACTGGATAATTAATAAGTAGAACATTTGTGATAAAATAAAATTGCTTTAAAACTTTTTTCCAAGCCGGGCTCAGTGGCTCAGCCTGTAATCCCACGCCTTTGGGAGGCTGAGGTGAGTGGATTGCCTGAGCCGGCGGGTTCGAGACCCGCCTGGGCAGGCGAGACCTCATCTCTACAATAAATCAAAAAATTAGCGGGGCCTGGTAGCACGCACCTGTAATTCTGGCTACTCGGAAGGCTGAGGCGGAAGGATCGCCGGAGCCCAGCAGGTCGAGGCTGCGGGGCTGGGAGCGGCCACTGCACTCCAGTCTGGGCGACAACTTTTTTCCAAAAATAATGAAGCAATAAATTTAACAAAAGTGTAAGACTTGTACACTAAAAACAGCAAGGCTAGGCCCAGTGGCTCATGCCTGCAATCCCAGAACTTTGGGAGACTGAGGTCGGAGGATCTCCTGAACTCAGGAGTTCAACACCAGCCTGGGCACCAAAGCAAGACCGCATCTCTACAGAAAATAAATAAATAAATAAAAATTAGCTGGGCATAGTGGCATGTGTCTGTATCCCCAGCTACTTGGGAAGCTGTGGTGGAGGTTTGCTTGAGCCCAGGAGTTTGAGGGTGCAGTGAGCTATGATCGTGACCTAAGTATATGGAAAGATCATAAATCAGAAGACTTAATATTAAGATGACAATACTCCCCAGACTGATTTATAGATTCAGCGTAACCCATATCAAAATTCTAAGTGGCTTTTTGCAGAATTTCCTAAAATTCATATGGAAATACAAGAGACCCAGAATAATCAGAATACAATCTGGAAAACAAAGATGGAAGACTCATACTTCTCAATTTTTAAACTTTACTACAAAGCTATACACTGCTCTGTTGGCAAAAGGATAGCAATATGGATCAATGTGATAGAATTGAGTCTCCAGAAATATACCTTTGCATTTATGGTCAGTTTATTTTTGAAAAGGGTACTTTTTTTTTTTTTTTTGAGTCGGAATCTCACTCTGTGACCTCGACCTGCTGGTCTCCGGCGATCCTTCTGCCTCAGCCTTCCAAGTAGCTGGAACTACAGGCACGCGCTTCCACACCCGGCTAATTTTTTGATTTATTGTAGAGATGAGGTCTCCCAAACTGCGGGATTACAGGCTGAGCCAACAATCCCAGTGGAAAGGGTACTTTTCAACAAGAGGTGCTCGGACAACTGGATGTCCACATGCAAAAGGATGAATTTGGATACTTACCTCACACCGTGTAAAAAGTTAATTCAGAATAGACCATCCACCTAAAAGTTAAACTATGTAAAATATAAATTCTTAGGGAAAAAAAGGAGTAAAGCTTTGTGATCTAGCAGTAGACAGTGGATTCTTAGACATGACACCAAAAGCACAAGCAACAAAAGAAAAATGATTAAATTAGACTTTATCAAAATTGAAAACTTTTGTGCTTCAGAGGACATTATCAAGAAAGTGAAAAGACAGTCCACAGAATTGGACAAAATATTTGCAAACCATGTATTTGATAAGGGATTTTTATATAGAACGTAAAAGGAACCCTCACAACTCTATAAAATGACAAACAACCCAATTCAAGTATGGGGAAAGGATTTGAATAGATGTTTCTCCAACAAAAATATACAAATGACCAATAAGCCATGAAAAGAGGCTCAACATCATAAGTCATCAGGGAAATCAAAACCACATTTTACACCCACTAGCAGGCACAAATTTAAAGAGACAATAGCAAGTGTTTGCAAACAAGTGTTTGTGAGGATGTGGATAATTTGGAACATTGCTGGTGGTATTGTAGAATGTTCTAGCCACATTGGAAAACAGTTTGAGAGTTCCTCAAAATATTGAACATAGAGTTACCATATGACTCAGCATTTCTTCTCTTAAGTATGTATGTATCCAAGATAATTGAAAACATGTTCACACAAAAACCTATACATGGAGATTCATTAGCAACCTGATTTATAATAGCCAAAATGTGGGTGGTAATAAACTAAATGTCCATCAACTGAAGAATGTGTAAACAAAATGTATATCCTATAAAATGGAATATCATTCAATAATAAAAAGGAATTAAGAACTAAAACATGCAACAACAGGGGTGAACCTTGAAATTATAATGTTACACAAAAGAAGTCAGTTACCAAAGGTCACATATTGTAAAATGTCTTAGATGCCCAAATAGACCAATCCAAAGACAGTAGATTAGTGGTTGCTAGGGTCTGGGGGAGGGAGGAATGGAGAGTGACTGCCCATAACCTCAGGGTTCCTTTTTAGGGTGATGGAAATGTTCCGGAATACATTTATATATTGATATATAAAAATATATTAATATAACTCTTAATATATTTTTTTAAACACTGAATTGCACACTTTAAAAGGTTTAATTTTATTTTTGTGACTATCTAAATAAAGTTGTTACTAAATAACTAGTGAAAAAATCTGATGTTGTAAAAAAAATATTGTCACTGCACATTTTCACTTCTATTTTTTTTTTTTTGAGTTGGAGTCTCCCTCTGTTGCCCAGACTAGAGTGCAGTGACCGCTCCTGGCCACTGCATCCCCCACCTGCTGGGCTCTGGTGATCCTTCCGCCTCAGCCTTCCAAGTAGCTGGAACTACAGGCGCGCACTACCACGCCCGGCTAGTTTTTGATTTATGGTAGAGATGAGGTCTCGTCAAGTTGCCCAGACGGGTCTTGAACCCGTGTGCTCAGGCAATCCAATGACCTCAGCCTCCCAAAGCACAGGATTACAGGTTGAGCCACCGAGCCTGGCTCTATTTTCTTTTCTTTACCTTTTTTTTATTTTTTGAGTCTGGTTCTTACTCTATCTCAGGTTGGAGTGCCATTGGCACAGTCATAGATCACTGCAGCCTCAACCCCCGAGTCTCATGTGATCCTTCCACCTCAGCCTCTTAAGTAGCTGGGACTATAGCTAGGCAAATGCCACCACACCCAGCCAATTTTTTATTTTTTAAATTTTTTGTAGAGATGAGGTCTCGCTATGTTGTCCAGGCTGGTCTTAAACTCCTGGGCTCCAGGAATCCTCCTGCCTCGGCTTCCAAAAGTGCTAAAATTATAAACATGAGCCACCACACCTGGCCAGTTCTTTAACTTTTAATGATACTGTTTGAGAAAATGTAGAGATAAAGATGCTGACTTTCTTTTTTCATAGCACTGTTGCAAGAATTCAGTTCCGTCTTCCTGATGGGTCTTCCTTTACAAATCAGTTCCCTTCTGATGCTCCTCTAGAAGAAGCAAGGCAGTTTGCTGCACAGGTAAAATCTGTCTTGAGTTGTAGTAAAGATAGATGTAAAGATTATTAAATTGTAGGAAGGGAACATTTCAAAGCAGAACTCATTCTTCAATGAGTAAATCATGACTCATCTTCAGGAGGCACAAGACACTTCTAAGATGATGTAGAACTTTGGCCGCGTATTAGTTCATAGGGGACAGCATATCTGCGTGTACAGAAGTAGGAATTTGCTGATGTTGTATAGGGGGCTCTAGGACCTCTTCTCACTGGCTGGCGTACTTAGCTGGAGGAGTGAAAGGCAATCTGAGGGAGCTGTCCCTGAAAAGAAAGCAGTTTTTCTTGTTCCTCTCCATCGTCTGCAGGTTGCTTAGGGACTGCCCATTTTCCCACTTCTGTTGACCAAGCCAAAAGAGCAGTGATCTTTATTTAACAAGCATTTTCTTTAGGGATTTACTTCCAAAATGTCACCTTACTCAAAACCTGAATGGAATATGAAATTCTATATCCTAAAAAATAAGATATGAGTAATTACCAATTTTTTTTAACTGTGATTAATCCCTCATCCAAAATGCATTCTGGCATCAGATGTCCTTTAGGTTCTGGGCTCATTATATATGTCAGTATTTTTCTTAAACATCAAAATTAGTGAGTTAGGTGTTGAACTCAGATCTTTCCACTAGACGGTTTCTCCCCATTTAGTCTTCTCCCTCACTTACGGGTCTCAAGAGAAAGGATACCATAAAAGCTGTCTGCCTTCCTGCACTGGTGACCTAGGCTGGACATTGTAAAAACTTAAAAACTGTTTTCACCTAAGCTTCATAGTAGAACTAATCCCAAATAGGCTATTTATTATTATTTTTTTATCTTGGGGCCTCCCACAAAGTGTCCTCATCTTGATATTTACTGCTTCTGCTGCAGGTAAATGGAGAGGGGACTGCGTGAGAAAAAGAAATCTTTGATTATGTCTATCCTATTAGAACTCCACCTCAGTATAATAATTGAATTTTGTATTTTTGTATGTCCTTAGAGTGAAAACATTGAGGGGTGTGTATATGACCTACATTAAAAAAAAAGAAAAGTTAATGTCTTTCTTTGGAATCTACTAGGGAAAGATAATGCAGTTGTCTAAGATTTTACAAGTGATTTTATAGGTGAATGGGGATTATATATGTTCCTGGGCCTGGGATTATATGTATAGTGTAGTTTGATTTTGTACCATTTGGGACTTGAGACTAGGAGGAGGGGTAAACTCCTGAAGATATGTATATCAGGGAAATACTGGTCTGGTCCTTTTTTTTTTTTTTTTTTTTAATAAAGAATGCCTGCCGGGCTTGGTGGCTCAGCTTGTAATCTCGCGTCTTTGGGAGGCTGAAGTGAGTGGACTGCCTGAACCCGCAGGTTCGAGACCCACCTGGGCAACTTGGCGAGACCTCATCTCTACAATAAATAAAAAAAATTAGCTGGGCGTGGTAGCATGCGCCTGTAGTTCCAGCTACTGGAAGGCTGAGGCAGAAGGATCGCCAGAGCTCAGCGGGTCGAGGCTGCGGTGGCCGGGAGTGGCCACTGCACTCCAATCTGGGTGACAGAGTGAGACTCCAACTCAAAAAAAAAAAAAAAAAAAAAAAAAGAATGCCTATAGTCCAAATATATGTGTGTGTGTGACATTAATGTAAGTTTGCCAAAGGATAGTGAATACCCTAATGATGAACTACAGCTATACTCAGAGGAGTTACAGACATAATTGCTCATTTTTACTCAGTTTATTCATATGGTTTTGGGAAACATATTTTTGCTAATTTTTTAGTCATCTTTGAATTATGGAGACTTTTAAAAACTTTGGATTTGATAACCTTTCAGCTAACTTTTTATGTGTTTTTTGAATTTACATTTAAAGTATCTTTTAAAATTAAGGCGATCTTAATTAAAATAGTCATTTTGGATGCATATGAGTAAAGTAATATTGTACTTTTAAGTGGCACTGTACTAAGGTTTTAAAACTTATGTTATGTTACAGACTGTTGGCAACACTTATGGTAATTTTTCATTAGCAACCATGTTTCCCAGGAGGGAATTTACCAAAGAAGATTATAAAAAGAAATTATTGGATTTGGAGCTTGCCCCAAGTGCTTCAGTGGTATTATTGCCAGTATGTATATATTTTTCCTATTCTTATAGTTTTCGTTTGTTCTACTCTTCATCATTTCTTCTAATTAGTGCAAAGGAAGGGCAGAGATACTTTGGGTAATTAAAATGCAAATTAGCCAATTTATTGTTCCATTATCCTGTGTTTTATATTTGTATTGCTATTATTGCTTGTGAGGTACTACATAGTTTTTCAACTTTTTTCCTTACCTGTTTTTGTATACAAAAAAATGATCACTAGGAGAAGAAAATAAGAAATGTAGATTATTTGTCTGATTCACAGATTTAATGTATTTTATTTATATATGGTGCTGTTTACAAGCTTTTAAAAAAATGTTATTTTAACATAAAAAGTAATATGCAAATAGATTATTCCGTTTGATCCTCACAACAATATTTTAATCTGATGAAGAAAAGAGGCTCAGAAAACTTAATGAATGCTAAGGTCCTACCTTAAGTGCCAGAACTAGGATGAAAGCCTGGGTCTTCCATGTCCTGTTTAGCATAGTTTTTCCTTACTCTTTACAGAGCCCCTTACCTAAAACAGTTCTCCAATAATCAGAATTTCATTGTATTCAGTGAGGTTTGAAACCTTTTCTTTTTTTTTTTTTTTTAAACAAGAAAGATTTTTCTTATCTAAGTTAATTTTATTACAAAAGTTCAGTTTTCTTTAAAATAGTTGGTTTGTTTCACCAAGAACTACTTTCTGGTTTGTATATTATAATTACTCTTTAAAAAAAAACAAAGCTCTAGCCGGGTGTGGGGGCTCGCACCTGTAATCCCAGCACTTTGAGAGGCCAAGGCAAGGGGGATTGCTTGAGCCCACAGTTTGAGACCAGCCTAGGCAACAAACCAAAACCTCATCTCTATAAGAAAAAAGAAAGATAGAAACCAAAACATAACATAAAAACAACAAAACTCCAGGAGTTCCTAGAAGTTTATATATACCTGAAAAACAGCAAAAGATGAGAATTTTACCTTCTTGCAATAAACTGAAATTAACAGGACCTCCTTTTTCAGGTTCATCTAAAACTTTGAGTGTGATGTGTGGTGATACAGGCTTTATCTAAGTTTGTTTATTTCTAACTTCTAGGCAGGAAGACCGACTGCATCCATTGTACACTCTTCCAGTGGAGACATTTGGACATTGTTGGGGACAGTACTTTATCCATTCCTTGCCATCTGGAGATTGATTAGCAATTTCTTATTTAGTAATCCTCCTCCTGCCCAGACTTCAGTGAGAGTGACATCGTCGGAACCCTCAAACCCTGCATCATCTAGCAAATCAGAAAAAAGGTATGTTTGTTTTTCCCATTTGCAAACTATGTAAGCAATGCCCAGTACCTTTTTCAAAGTACACAGTTGTGTTATGAGTACTTGGTCTTCTTTCCTTGTATGTCCTCCCCAGTCCCCAAAGTGGAGGGAAAAAACCCAAATGTTCTGAAACTGTATTATGTTTATTATGTTATCTCCTGGGAAGCTCACTACCTGAGTGTTCTCAGCTATTTAAAATCTAATCCATGATAGGTGGGT